ATTATAGCTCATGTAATCATACTGACTGATGAATTGACATCCTTCCAGAAGGCAACTTGTGACCTGTGTTCAAAGGTTTTCTATTTCTAGTGACAATCATTTTCATACTATTTATTTTTCATATTTGATCATTTACGATTTATATTTATCACAGTTCAGTTAGTAGTATAGTTATAAAGATAATAAAAGTTTAGCACATAGAAACAGACAAAACACCTCATTATTATTAAACCATTTTGTAGAATTAACTTGTTTTTCACGAGTTTGAGGGAAAATTAAATTTAAACTYAGACAAACGTKTTTGCTGTMATCTGGAGTCTACAAATATTCATCTTTTAGAGTTAATAAATGTTTAATAGCTAATGCAGCAGCTACAACTTGTCTGTCACCATGAGACACACAGGATGAGCTCCTGCTGTGACGTGAACTCTCTGTCGGACCCGGAGTTTGGTCYRYRGCAAGTTGCACGTYTTGTTTACGTATCACAGTAACGTGAAATGTTCACGTGTATTTGGCTCGGCGCGCTTTCAATAGTAAAATATCGACAACGCTCCAAACACATAAACGTTTAACACAACTGGACTTTAGATACAAAAGGTCGGGGCRCGGTTCTGGATGGGTAGGAGTACACAGGTAGCTCCTCAGCGTGTGCAAGTTGCATGTTTTTAAAATAACTACGACGCTCTGAACACAACAACATTTAACCCTGTGTTTAACACAAAGTTAGACTTTAGATAAAAAAGACCGGGCAGGTCGGGGCTCGGTTCTGGAAGATGGGTTGAATGGTGATTCAGCTCAGGTCTTCTCGGCTGCAGCCAACTGGTCACGGCGAACACATACGTTTAATACTCAGACATTTAATAATTTATTACATAACTTTACCTCCATGCGGGGCGGGTGGTTCTGGTAGAGGGTCGAAAAAAGAATAAAGGTCCTTGGAAGAGTTCGATCAACTCTTGTTTACTTCACCTGCAGCTCTGAATCCGCTCAGACAGCAGGACCCACCCTGCTCTGCTCTGATTGGCTAAAAATGTGACTCTGGTTGTTTTTATTGGTTGAAAGCAGCGTCAGTTAATCTATCACAAGACAAGTTTGTTTTTTTCTTTTCTCAACAGGAAARGCGCTGCAGAGACAGCCGGGGGAGACGGAGAACTTTAATCGCTTCTGCCCGACAAAATTTAAGACCTTTGAGTAACAAATTTAAGACCAACTTGCACATTTTTTAACAAATTTAAGACTTTATAAGGCCTTAATTTTAGATTTGTGAATTTAAGACCTTTTAAGGACCTGCGGATACCCTGATTATAAATACCTATGTTGGATTTTTTTCTCTTCTTTTCTAAAGACAACTGAACTACTGCAGGAGGATTTCTCACCAGTTTGCTGCAGTTTTTACTAATAAGATGCTGAATATTCAGGCTTTTTATTTTTAAAGCAGAAATAATAAAAGTTTCTTTGCATTTTATTCACCATTATCATTTCTTAATCAAATCACTCAACTGCACTAAAGTTCAGGAGACCATTAACCCTCTTCGTTACAGTCACTGTGAGAAACTGCAGAAACTGGGACTGACAGGAGTCTCATGAAGTCAGGTTATGAAACGCTGTGACCTGGTTTGAATGGCTTTGTTGCAGATTTTAATTTCAGGAGTCATGTAGTTTTTCTTTGTGCATTGGAGAATGAACTGAAAAGTAGAAGAAACAAACGAGCTCCTCTGACYGCACCGTCTGTAGGCTTGCCTTCAGATGTTGGTGTGTGTTTAGGGGGACAACATAAGAAGGTAGAGCATCCTGAGTAACAGACCACCTGTCAAAGTGTGAGGAGATGAAAGCAGCTGGTTGAACTCACTCTGATCCAGCAGCCATATCTGTGTAAGACGTTTCTGGTGTAGTGACTCCCAGCGTGATTACTATGCTCATGACGTCCAGTACAGCGACGAGTGGGAGGGGGG